TTTATCATTCTGAAGAAGTTTGGTATATACTATAAATTTAGAAGTTTTCATTGGGTCTTAAACTTTTGCGTTCTGCTGCAGAATAGTTATTAATCTCTCTGCTCATCTCTCTTTCTCTCTCTCAATCTCTCTGTCTTTTGTTTCCATCTTTCTAATGCTATCAGAGGGGGCTGGGGATCTAAATAGTTAGTTTAACACAATAATGTCAGGAATACGTTTGTATTGCTGACACTAATATGTCCGTTTAATTGAAGTAAGTCTGTTTCGTGGGAAAAACACATTTTATCAGAATAAATAAATAAAAAATAGTGTACGTAGGAATTATCCCAATACCACATATGTCAAAGCAGGGGGAACAGAAAAAAGAAATATTAGAAGCAACTGAACATGGTTCATGCCTTCTAAGAGACACTTCCTCAGCATTTTCCACAGCAATTCCTATTGACACTTTTTTTTATTTATTTTGTTACAGTGTTAAGTGTTTTTTTTCTCCATGAAATATACTTATTGCTATTAAGTGTATCATCTCTTTAATGGATGCTTACTGCAATTCCATTTGGACTTCGGAAAAGTGTGGTATTTACAAATTAATTGCAAAATATGATCACACTATGCATAAGGCTGCACAGCACAATTTCCAATGGCTGCGCAGTCACTAGTTTTGAACAGTTAGTAGATATGCCCTAATCTGTTGCATTGCAGGTGGGGGCATAAGGAGACTTTAAGCCTCCCTATACCTCCACCTTACTGACCCCAATAGGACTTTTATTTAATTTAGTTAGTTTCATTTGTTTGACAGCTTTGTGCCACCAATGGTTTTTAACTATTTGCCCGCTGGCTCCTAGCACGGCCAGCAGGCAAATAGTTTGGATTTTGTTTTTTTAATCTGGGCTGGCCTGCATTTCAAGAATTTGGGTCAGGATTTTAGCCATCCAGTGTTCAGTACGGTTGAAATCCAGATCAAATTCAGGCCTGTTCGGGTCCTGAATTACAAAATCCAGGAATTATTGAATAACTTAGACAATGGATTTTGCAGTCAGAATGTCCCTGTATGCAGCCTGATGGTTTTTCCCCATTTAGTATGCGGCTGTTCTGACTTTAGGGAATAACCCTACAAATCACATGTGGCGGACCTGGCATCAGTCCCTGGGGTTGCCCGAACCCATTTTGAGTTCTTTCAAACAAATCTGTATCTCCCTGTTCGGGAGCTGAATAGAACATGTGTGGTTGACTTGGAACACCAACCACCCCTGGCTATTAGCCGCAATTAAACAGTACTTGAGTGCTTTCCCATTTTGTCTCCCGAACGCAGGCAGCAGTATTTGGTCATTGAGTGCGTGGAACTAATTTCATCTACACGTTCTCGCGAGCCCTGGTCAAGGCAGTACTGCTACCTGTATACTTTCCATAACAACTATACAAGCATCGTTCTTGAGATATGATCTACCGACTGGGGAGAGCATTCACTACCTAAGAGCTAGGGGGAGCGTTCGGTGTTTGTGCAGAAACTCCTGAACCAAGATTGGCTGCAGCCCTGGATTCTCTGGAACTCTTTTGGCATCACTTCATGGCTGGCTGGTGAATTCTTCTCCTGAATAGCGATCTTGTTCCACCAAACCAATCTGAGCACTTTTTGGAAATGTTGTGCGCTCAGATTCAGGCTATTCAGGG